AGTTTATAGATATTTTTGTATTTTCTATTTTATTTTGTTTTCTTATAAACTCATAAATATTAATAAAGATCATGCGAAACTGCCGCACTTATAAAAAAAAAAAAAAAAAAAAAAAAAAAAATCATTTTTGCACATCATTTTTAGGTGTAACACTATAATTGGACTTTCTTCTCATATATCCAACTATTTTCACTAAAAAGTAATATTTCTCATATCAAATTTGTTCTAAAGGATAATATCCTTCATTTTTTATACCTAAAAATTTTATATCATCAGGAGTACCATCATTTCTCACTACCTTTTAAACTTGTTTTGCCAAAGATTTAGACTTTTTCTTGTAATTATATAAGCTTGCTGAATAACTGTTACATAGAAATTTTCAAAGTCATAATTATAGTAGTATTTAGGAATCAAGAATTCCTAAGATCGCTTCATTAATCTTCCTGAAATAATACTTCATTATAAATTATAAGATCTAACCCAGAATAGGCAAATCAGATTTTTATTCTGCAGGTGATATATTTCACAGGTGATCATTCAGATTATATAGCACAAAAAATAAAGTTGAAATCAATTGTCTATAATTAAAATATTTTTCAGAATCATTCAGTTAAATCAGTTAAACAATTGTGACTTTTGTCTCATCTTTCAATCTTAATGTGAACTAATTAAGATAGTTTACAGATGGTAGTAAGTTATTTTGTTTTGCATACTGAGACAAAATAAATATTTCATCTATATCACTTTTGCAATTCAATGACTGATAAGAAGTTGGTGAAATCATTTCTTTCCTAGCAGATGAAATATAAGCTGGCTCAAAATTTGGAGCACTTGATATAGTATTTTTTGCTATAGTTGCAGTTTCAGCCTTGAAGCAAGAGTTATTCCAATGATCTTTCATTAAATCTTTGAACTTAATCTCATAATCCCATTTGTATAATCCATCAAAATATATTTTTTTTGGTTTTACTTCAGTAATTTTTACCAATTTCCAGCATTTAAAACAGATAGCCATCTGACTTTTATGAACACTAGATCTATAATAACTTATGGAAAGTTCTCTCCCTGCCTAGTTGTTTTGGTTACTCCTTGCCTAAATGATCTGAAAAGGTAGAATACATGATAAAAGCTTCTATTTCCTTCAGCAATCAATATTTACAAAGTGGCTTTTACATGAATGGCCCATTGCTTTGAAGTTTCATATGATCTAATAATAGATAAATTATCATATATTTTTTTCCATCTCAACCATTTTTTTGATTTGATCGATAGAATAAATATGGCAATATGCTTTACTATATTCTATATCATGTTCAGGACAAAGACTGGTGGGTTTAGGCACAGATTTATTATAAATCTCATCTAGAATAATTGTAACAGTTTGACCAGACATATTTCTTACTAAATTAGTGAATTAAACGATTTATAGCAATTTATTGATTTATAGCGTTTTAAGCAACTCTTTAGTAACTTATACTGATGAATAGCATGTTTCAAATTTATTGATACCCTATGCAAATCATACACGCATATAGCATTCATAAAAACATTAGGCCCGATATGGGCAAACCTTTATTAGTTAATTTGATATGCGTAACGAAAATTAAGTTTTACAATACTACATATAAAAAAAGTGAGAAGACGAAATTCAGGTATCATGTGATAAGCGTGAAGACCCAACCAATAGAAGCATGATCTATACGAAATAATGATGGTATTGCCCTGGGCGCAGTAAGTACATATTACTTTATTAATAAGAACTTCATTAATTTTAGGAATATAATGATAAAATATGCAATCAATACGCATGAGATTGAAAAATAAAATTGCAAATGTCAAACTATAATTTTACCCGCTAACCATTTCACTTTGCATCAAATATTAAAATAATCTTTCAAGTTCTTTGATTAAATTATCATAATTCAAGTCATTCGCTTCTTGATGGATTTTTTGCCATATATCTGATTTACCATGGGAGGACCAAAAGGTCAACACATTTTTTGCCCGTGATTTGAAGTTAGGAATCTTGTCAAAGGAAATTCTCTCCATTGCTGTATTTGCCGGTTTGTGAAGCATTAAATAAAACGACCTTACCAGGCATATTAGGTCAATACGTGGTGAGTATAAAATTTGTTTACCATCGGCTAATAATTTTAAGATATCATCAGGCATACACTCAAGTGCTCCAGCGAAATTACCAGTTTCATTTCTTGTTGCGCTATATCCCCAATCAATAATAAAGATTTTTTCGTCATGGTCACGAATGAAGTTATATCTCCGAAGATCCATGTGGACAATATTTTGTGAATGTGCCATCCTCAGGGTATCAATGATATTTCTGACATCCTTCTTTTGCATATTTTTGACTTTCGTACCTAGAGGAGTTGTGACAAGGGAGTTCTTATCATACAGGAGGAGTTTTGGAAAATGAGGCGATTTAAAATTTTCTAGCACATTTTTTTCCCTTTCAAAACAAGAAAGATATTTTTCCTCTTTCGCCAATTTAACAACTACAGGATCCTTATCATTAAGTTTTCCTTCATACACAATACTAGTCCTGCCTGTATTGATTGATCGAACAAGCTTCACAGTATCCGAGTCGAATTTCAATGATGGATCAATCCATCCAAGTTTTTCCGGATCACTTTCCATAATCGTTACTAGATACTTCCACCCAGCTGGAGCGTAAGTACTGGATTCATAGTTTAAATTTGCAGGTGATATGTATTCATACGAGAATCGGATATTGTTACCAATGTTAGAGTTGCACCTAGTCACTTTATAAATGCAGACAAGTCTGCAATCTGTTAAAAGCACATATACATAGGCTCTCCGAGGCTGGAGTTGGAGGACCTTTTCACCAAATGATACGGCGTGTCCTATATCTGCGTTAGTGAAATTATTGCTAGATCGTTTCCTTATTTCTCCAACGGCTACAACACGCAATGCATCTAAAGGATGACCTTTAGCAATGAATACAAAGTCCGGTTTTCGAGTGGCCAGTAGAGGGATAGAATGTACGTCTTCAACAACAAGTTTTGAATCTTTTGATTTTTGTAATGGTTTGCATTCATCAATAAAATATTCTTGCAATGTTTTTTCTGGGACGTCAGGGCTAGGTGGATATTTAAACTTTCCGTATACTCTTCTTTGGGTAGTCGTTGTCAGTTTAAGTGGGAACGTAGTTTCAGTACCTCGTTCTCCTACAAAGATACCCTTGTCGGTTTCCGTATCAGTACCTAGTAAAAATGTTTAAAGGAAATGATAATGGGTCGGATTATAGATTGGATGTACCGAAAAAAAATGACATACCTGGAGCACTATACCACATTACCTCACTCTGAAGTCGTACTTTCTTCATTTCATGACTCACTCCATCTATTTTATGGTCAAGTCTTTCTTCAAGTCTTTCTGCGATTTCATCGAAATGTCTCTTAAGATCTTCTGTTCCTGTGAACAAGACAAAGAAATTAGGATATAATTAAATCCAATTAAAGTACTCTCAGAAAAAAGTTACCTTCTTTTTTTCCACCTATGTGAGAATAAAATTCGAAACATTATTAGTAATATTTAAATGGAAAATCAAGCCAGGACGCGTTCACTCACGTTGAAAAGCTTATTACGACTTACTTACCAGCAACAGGTTGCTCTACGATAACGCGAACGTGTTTTTTGGGCGGGTTTGACGATAAGAAGCAGGAAAGAAAAGCGCAAGAATAAGTATTCGCTATTATTGGCGAATATGACAGAGAAAGACAAAAAATTACGCTATACTATCTTTGTAACACACCTTGCTCGCCTTTGATTTCCTTTATCAGCTCAGAGATCGCAATAGCCGGTCCCGGTTGTAGTCCATAGCTTTGAAGTTCTTCTTTCGTCAAGCTGAAAAAGGCCTTACCACCAATTTTTTTACTTCCGATTATCTCAATGTCCTCTTCATCAAGATCTAAGTTCAAGTCCTCCCTTTGTAAGAAGGTGATTACGTCATCCTTTTTCCATTCTTTCTTTACGACGTCGACCAACGGAAGAATAGCCGTTTCTGACATAGGTTCATTTTCTCTATCCATAGTTTCACAGTTTACAAAATAAGAAAGAAAACTTTTTGTGGAAATTCGATTCACACGAGCAAATGCAAATTTATTTTTTTTAAAGAAATGACTTGTTAAATCGGTTGTCGCACAGATTGATCTGACTCATCAGTTGATCACTGCCTTATCTGTCACAAAATAAAAAAAGTGAGATCGTGACGCGCGTCACAGTCTCGTTAGTTTGTAATAAGTGAGAAAGAAATATTCACGACACTTTATCAATACATGCAAGCGATAAATAAATACAAATGTGAGAGTACATGATAAAGCTTCTATGCTACAATAGCGAACTTGAGTTTATTGCTTGAAGTGAAGCAAGTAAGACAATATTCCGTTTCATTTTTATACCATTCGCCATGTAATCCATAATTCCATCACAAATAGGACATGGTGAGCTCCACGGTTGAACAAATGCAAAATTATAATTATCAATCCCTCTAAAACTATTTCGAAATTTCAAGTATGTGAAATGTTCTAACACGGATTTGATAATTAATTCTGGTCAGGTTTGGCTTCGAAGGTGATAGGCTTGAAATCAGAGGCTTGAGGTTTTTCTGATATACTTATCACGGCTTCTGATAATTGCCATGGCTCATTTCCAGTTTCTTTTTTATATCTTTTGTATAAATTAGAACGAATCTTGTCTGTCAAAACGCTTGGTAACCTATTTAATTTGGCATGCCAATCCAGATATTCGGGGGTTAGTATTTTATTAGACTCAGTTATTTTCCTTATTATATGATTGCAAACAATTTAAATCCCTTTTTTCCCATTAATTCAAAAAAGATTAAAAATTTTCAGATAGAAAGCTGTCTAATATTTCTTATCACACTTTCAAAAAAATAGTTAGATCATCTCCAATGCTTATAGAATAGGAAGGATTATGCAGTTATCTCAATTTTATGCTATTTACATTTAATAAAGTAAGATCTGGCTTTATACCTACCTTTTATCTCTTCATATCATAACTTATTTTGCATAATAGGCAGATAGTTTCTCTTGAGATCTCGCAAAATGTCTCATCAGTAATTCTATAATAATCGAAATTTTCACTACTACATTCTCTATATAGATTAGGATATTGATCTAATATCTTGTTACGAAAATAAATGCAATTATAGGTTGGTTTAGTCATAGGAATTTGTGGATGAGATACAGGTGAAATATTTACCCCAGACTTTAAAGATATATTAAGTATTTGTTCTTCCGATATATTAGAAGTATGTAACGATTCAGAATTTTTCTTATCACTTCCTGAACTGAGATCAGGACATGACAATTCAGAATTTTTCTCATCACTTAATAAAGTATCTTTGGCTAAGCACAGGTAAATGATTTTATCTTAATGTTATAGTTAACTGGCATATTATCTATGATATACTAAATGTCTTTATACGTTATTTTTGAAATACTGCTAACAGAGAATGAATGTATCTGATAAATTTTATCTATGCCTATTGCATTAAAAGCTTCTAGAATTTCTTGGCCTGCTTGATTTTTTTTCATAAAAGTGCATCAAAAGTATCTGCAGGAAGCTGAGCTTTAATTTTCATATTTAAAATTCTACTGATAGTATTGGATTTCAGATCAACTTGTTTTTCAAATGCTATTTTACTTTGTCTCTTTTTCAAATTGACAGTAATATATAATGGCTTCTTAAATCACATGATCAACAAAGTTTTCAGTATTGAAAGTTTTTTATACAAAAGAAAAAAGATTGTTTCTATTTCTACTGTTGAGAAATCACAGTTTCATACTGATTGTTCTAGGCAAATATTCAAAGAATTCAAGCTCAGCTCATCTATAGTATTAGAACATTTGGTGCTTGAATCCTTAGACGCTTTCTGAATAAATTTTTTTCTTGCAAAGTATCTTTTTATCAATAGATACCTGTTTACCTTTTTCAGAAGAGATGGATTCTACTTTTACAAGCTTCTTATCCTGCTTTCTCTGCCTTATCCCATCACTAACAATTTTCTTATTTACTTCATTCAGAAAAGAGTCCATCATCTTTTTTTCCAATGGCTTGATGTTTATGTTATCACTAGGTGATCTATTTATAGGTTGGTCTATTACAGGATCAGATATATTATGGAAAACATGAATGTGATATAGCTGATATCTCTTCTTTTCCAATAGAGTATGAGTTCTACATGTCAGTAATGTACTAGAGTTGCTAAGGTTTCGTGAGGTTGAAAAAATCAAAATCATGTCTTAATTTGATTAATTTAGCTTTAAGCTTAGCATTTTTAGCTGAAATATTTATACTATTTTTCTCCAATTCTTTGATTCTAACCTTGTATCTGTAAGTTTTTAAATTAATGAACATTCTGATGTTAATTAGTCTCTGATGTATATCAATGCATATAGTATCATTCGTCAATACAACCAATGAACAATTAAGTGATGATCATCGTAATATATTAACAATAAACATTTAATAAGCATTTTATTTCCGTAATTATAAATTTAATACTGTATATGATTTATTTAATTGCTAAATATAATTAAAAGGCTAAATCAATTGCAAGAAAAAGGTCACACATAAGATAAAAAAAGAAAATGTACGCCTAATTAATCATTCACAGCCTCATCACTTATTTTATTTTCTTCATCTGATTCGTTATTGTCCAATATCTTCTGTTGTTTATTTCTATCAGCCTTTTGTTTGATTATTACCTTATCAGTAAGTACAGTGGTTTGAATTTCAGGATTAAACATAAGTTCTACAATTGAAATGACAAATAAACAATTATTATTAGTGCATTCATTTTTTTAAAACTTCTCGTGTAATATGATTAATGTAAGTATCATTAGGGTTGTCTCCATTTTCATCAACCCTGTTCTAAAGATTTTTGTATATCTATTTCACATTCTTATACGTTTTTCACTCTAAAACTTCAGTTGATGTTTCTTTATAACACGGATAAGCTCCTATAAATGCCTTTCTGAAAATATTCATTATGGTATCTTTAATATTTTGAACATAGCTTGCACGTTTAATATGAAATTCATAATGAACCTATGTGTTTATTTCAATAATAAAACTATTGTCATTGTAGTCTTTGGTATATATTATTATTAAGTGAAATCAATAATTTACCGTTGATTGTAATACTTCAGACCAATATTTAGGCCATACACCTTTAATATTTTCAATTTTTTTAATCTTATTTGGATGCTCGATAATTAGAGCTGTATAAATAGCTTCTTGCATACTATTATCTGTGAGGTTTTTGTCAGTTTGGAAAAGATCATTGCACGCTTTCATAATAGTAGTCTAAATTGTAATATATACAGATAATCATTAGATAAAAAATTTTAAAAATAATATTAATAAATATAATACTTACGATATACCAGGCTATTTTTTTTTACAAATCCTTTAATAACTTCATTATTATTGTTGACATTATTTCTTTCTTCAGACATTTTATATTCTATTATAAACTCATTAATAATATTTTCAGTGCGAACTACAACTTCATTGGCAGAAATTGCTTTCTCATATGTACCTTTGACGTATTGCATTGTTTTATATAACATTTCTCCAAGCTGAAGCACTATATAAAAATAAATTAATTAACTTTATAGTTACTAACATAAATATCAAAAACAATATTAATATTATAATATTTACTTTTTGTTACATTAATAATATTTGTATCAACATTATTCTTTCTCTTTGAGCTCTCTTGCTTTTCGTTATCTACAATAAAATCATCCTAAGACATTCAATGTACAATAAAGTATGTGTATATTTAATTGTTACAATAATTATCATCAATATTACCTTAAATTAGTGAGTACTCAAAGTTAAAGTCATAGATGATCTACTAGATAACTTCTTATTGTCAGTATTTAAGTAGTCATATGTAGGAATTTTTATTGTTATCATTAGAGTTTTGTTACATACTGTATTGTCTTCTTCACTTAAACCCTTACCTTTTTTTATTGTTTTGCATCTATAATAAATAATAAATCTTTAGCGAAAAAATGTTATCATAAAATAACAATATCGTTTTCATTAACGTTTACTTGATAATTACGATTTAATGGTTTGAAGTGAGATGCAACCAATCGAGGCTTGATAGGTGTAAAAGCAGATAAAGGATCATCATTTGGAGTTTTATTATTAGATGATGCAATTTTCTTACGAGTTGATGATGCCATATTTTGGATAAATGTTCTTTTTTTTATAAAATATGATTTCTTTTTTTTTACCAGAGTTAGAGAAAAAAAAATGTTAAATTTTATAAAAAGAAAAGTCAATGTGATAAAAGATAGAAAGGAACAATTTTATAAAGATAAAAATGGTGATATGTTGATGTATTGTAAATGAAAGGAAAAAAGGATGCTTTTATAAAAGAAAGAAAATAAATTATATTAAATAAATTATATGATTGATATTATGGGCGATGTGAAATATAATTTTTTATACGCGTTATAAATGGTTTATAATATGTAGCATCATGAATATCATTACTGCAATAAAATTCATATCAAATGTAACACAATAAAATAAAACATATGCATAATGATAATAATTAACTTGGTAACACTATGCATGATAATAATAATAATTAACTTAGCATTATACATGATAACAATTAACTCGATTGATTTATTAATAGTTCAAAGTTAGTTAAATATCATAATATAAATGTATTATTTAAAATCATACTTCGCAAACTCTTCGTTTTAACATACAACAAATTGCTGTAATAATGTCTTCGCATAATACATTGAATAAAAAAAAGCTCTAATTCATAAAAATAGTAGAATATTTCAATATAAATACTGTTTGCGAGTGTTTAGTAGATATGACACTTTCAAAATCATCTTCGAATACATCAAGACCAGATGTACTTAAATGAAAATGAACCAACACGTGATAAGCTGATCATTAGAAATATTCTTCAAAAAACCGTTCTTTCGTCCATATTATTTAATGATACTATAAGCTAATGCGAAAAATAGTCTTAGAATATGAATGATGAGTACGAAAAACAACATCTAATACAAATGACAAGAATGTGTGTCTGATAGGTTTAAATGAAATGAACATTATACAAATATACAAATTAATTTTCTAACACATCCTGTATTACAAAACATACCTAATTTTCAACAGAAATACAAGCGAAAGTGACATGAATAATGATGACAAAGAAGGAAATGATGAAATAGATGTAACACTGGTCGAAATCAAAAAAATCGGACATGCGAAAATCGGCCTAAAATCAGCCTAAATCGGCCTAAAATCGGTCTA